CAACATTTTAAAAATTCTTTGTTTTCTACTGGTTTTTTAGTTTATTTTTGTTGTAAAGTTTATTTAAAATACCAAAAAATAAAAAAATGATCTTAATTCTTTTAATTTTTATAAATGTAAACTGAATTATATAGTTATCATTAAACAATTTGTATTATTATTATTATTATTATTAAATTACGAACAAATATACTTGTTAACTGTGTAAACCAAATTATTATCATATAAAATGGCATTTATTACTGTTAACTTAGTAAAGTGTATAATCTCAAAACTAAAAAACCTTATAAAGAAATGTTTGATTTAAGTTTTTGATTCACTTTATATAATTATTGGTACACACATACACACACTCACACACACAATTTATTAATAATTTATTAATTTACAAATATTCATAATTTCATGAATTTTTGAAGGAAAAATTACATTGGTATGGTTAATAATTACTTGCTATGGTACTTTTAATAAATGCATAAACCAATATTTTTTACTGTCCAAAATATATCCTTACCACATCTGCATGTCTTCTTTTATACAAACGTTTTATTTTATGTTTATTTTATTTACCTGTATGCATATTTGAACAAAATTATTATTATTATTATTATTATATGTACTTGTAAAGTATAATAATTATAGACAATATAATATAATAGTTTAATACTATAATATACTGTAGATTAGTTTAAATAGTTTAAATGAAATATGTAATTCATTTGTATACAATACATTTCTAAGTTACATTGTAAATTGTAATAACAACTTTATTTTATTCACGCAATAACAAATGAAAAAATAAATTTTATATTTATACGCCTTATTTATTGTTCATGAATTTATTTTGAATTGTGTATTTTTGATGTACTAGTCACTGCCACATATACGGGGAGGGGCAGGGGCAGGATGTTTTTCTTCTGTACAGTGTATGTTAACCAGTACAAATAAGTTGTGGCAGATTTAAAAGAGAGGGTTCGGGACATCCTCATGTTCCTTTTAGCTGTATTACCATATTATATTTGTGATGTAAACCTTATGATTAGAGCCCGAATTTATATGCATTTAAAAAGCGTCAAATATGATGCAAATATTCAAAGAATATTCAAAAGTGGCTAAATATGCAATTATATGCATTGTGTTGTACATTATGAAATGTGATTTTAAAAAAAAACCAAATATTTACACCAAGAAAAGTTCTAGATATTCCATCAGAAATAAAAAAATATTTTAATAATTAAAATTGTAATACTTTCAAAAAGATAATCAAAATTTAAAAAATTTAAATCATTAGTAAATATTATAGATCATTTTTAATTATATGTCTTTAACTCAGAAACTAACATAAAACTTACAAAAAAAGACAAATACATACTTAGTTTCACCAAACTAGGTCTTAAGACATAATAATGTAAGAATAAACAATGTGATTAAAGTATTTACAAAATGATAACAAGTAACAATATAGTATGCCGGAACGCGAGTGTATGTGTGTGAAGTTGGCCCCCCTATAATGAAAATATCGATGAAAACCTACTTACAAATAAAGATCTTTAACTTACAATTGTTTGGATTGATTTTTTTTGGGGGACCTACTTCACACACTGGGGCGTATGAGATTTATTGTTCTTAGTATCTATCTTTACATCTTCCGATCTCATGAAGTATTGCAAACATGACAATATTTACACAATATTCTTTTAGGAGACACTGTCAACAATTTTTTTCTCCTGTAAAATTACTAAAATGTATTTATCTTCAATTAAAATAGCTAATTTATTAAAAACCCATTACTTGTGCATGTTATATGCATTTATGAACTAATATGCAATAATTCTCCAAATATTCAAAATCAAATTTGATATTTGAATTCTGTGTTATATGAACCATAGACATTTCAAACCCCCATCAACGTGCATACACTAAATACAAACATGCAAATGCATTTAATTCCGGGCTCTACTTATGAGTAATAGAATATAACAATAATTAATATATTCAATTAACAAGTAGATATATTTCTGACATTTGTTTTGATGCATCGTACTAACAAATCTTTCGTATTTATAAGTATACCAAAAGGGCGTAACATCTTATCTTAAAGCCAATTAAACTGACATCACATCACATTATTAATGATATAAAATCCTTATACTAATCAGTAATCACTAATAAGAGTGGTTTTTATAACTATGTATATAATACTGTTTTGAAAAATTTTAGTTTAACAAAACCATTTATTAAACATTGAATGAAATTTCATTGAATTTATATGAATAAAATTGTTTTGACATTTACCTATAAAATAAACTAAAAAAATTGAAAAGTGAAATTTTCCATAAATTATTTAAAAATAGTCTTAAGTATTTTAAACATTTTATCATTAATAGAAAATGATAAAATAAACATTTGATGAAAATTTCAAGTACCTACATTCATTTATTTTTGATAAAAAACAAAATAACAAAATCTTATGAGAATTTGTTAATTTACGGATGAATATCCTAACTTCAAGCTCGTAAAAAATTAATTTGACTTTCTGATCCATTTTGTTTTATTTTTAACTGAGATCTACAAACTAAAGTTCTTGAACTAAAGATCATCTTGTATTGATTTTTCAAATTTAAGATAGAAAAGATAAAAAAATTTTTATGAATTTCTAACAAAATAATTTGCAAATGTTAGTGATTTTTATGAATGTCATCAAAATTCTAAATTCAAATGCTCATAAAAATTATTATGAATTAATACTCAACTTTTTTTTTTAATTTCCACTAACAAAAACTTACAAGAAACCTTGTATAACAATTGTAAGTATTTTTGAGCGAAAAATTTTGTATTGACAATAATTTAAGAAAAACAAATAAAATTGAACTTTTCTTATGCCTCTATAAATTTCTCAAAAATAGTCACCATATTTCAAAAATGTTATGGTGCATAGAAATTGCTTATATGAAGTAATAATCAACGCTATTATTCAGTGAAAATTCCATATGTGTGCTTAATATATTTTTTTATTATTCATAAGTCATAAGTAATTAATACAGCTTATTAATATTTATAAGCATTGAAGTCTTAGTATGATGAGAAGTCATGGAAACAGAAAACAAAGTGCCTAATAAAACTAAAAACATCAAACATGTTAAAAATGTAACTCCATCGGTTCCTACATGATAATAATAATTACAGCCAGAAATTCAAAGGAAAAAAACAATTAAAATACAAACATGAATAAATATCTTATGCACACGTTTTGCAGAAAAATAAAATTGAATTCAAACCATTTTTAAAAGTAATTGTTCAAAATATAATGTGAGGTACAAAAAATGAACAAGAACAGTTTTTACATTTAAATTTAAATATTTTGTAGTTTCATATTATGTTAATTACCTAAGTGACTAAGTTATAAAATTAGGTGTCATGTTATAAACTCAGATATTTTTCTTTGGGACTTGTTTTCCTATCAACTTGTGCAGACGTGCAGCCACTAGTAGGGAAAATTATTAGAAAATTAGTTTGTTAAAAGTAAATAATAATGAACTAGGTATTGGTTCAATTTTTTAAATTATAATACGTACTTTAGAATACAAAAAAGTAAATTATAAACAAAAAATATTAGTGGTTTTCCAATCAAAGTTATATGTTAGAAGGTAGAAAGGTACTAAACATTTGGTTTATAAAAATTAAAAATGCAAATATTGACGTAAAAATGAGGGTCATATATTCATAAAAATGTTTGTAATACTCCATCATATGTATTATATATAGATATGTATACATCATTCATTATAAAAACTATAGATTGCTCACTGGTTGACGTGACTACTAACCTTTACTATTTTACTATACATTACTAACCATGCGCCCTTGGTCTAGTGATCAATCTATAGTATTTGTAACTGATAGCAGTACACATACTTAATAAGTACCTTAAAAAGTTGATTATAACAAAATCGGTTTTCGTTTGTCATACTGATGAGAAGAATACCGAGTAATAGACAAGTGATATAGTTTTGACACTAGTAAAAAAAGTCTAATAAATAATAAGAAGACCATGACATTTATTACTTCATTATACAAGTTATATTCTTTGGTATTTTTTGTCAAAAAAAAAAAAAACAATGTTGAATTATTTTCATTAGTGATTGGTTTGACAAAATAAATTTATCAATATTATTTTCATGCTTTGTTAAAAACGCTTAATTTTATAATTTAACATTATGTTTGTTATAACCATGACCTACAGATATAATAACATACATGTATAATATATAGGTATTGGAGTTAATATATTTTGAAATATATATAGTATTTAAATTAAAAATAATGTAATAAGTATATTATATAAATGCATAACAAAAATAAATCATTTGAATTTGTTCTAATAACAATATTATGTATATAATTCACTAATATAAAGTTAAGTAGGTACAATTGGATACTGAAATAATTGGGTTTATTTATTCATTTTACACATTTAAATGATTATTAAGTGAAAAAATTTAATTGTTTGTAGGCATATTAATAATAAAATAATTTGCTAACATATTGATGCCTACATTTAATATTTACTCTAATAATTATCATTAAACACTAAGTTATAATTATGAAATCTGATTAGTTTATGTTAATAACTTAATTGGACTTAAATTGTGTTTAAATGTATATAAAAGAAGTATTTAAATACCCAAAACTAAACGACAAGTATAAGTACACAAAATTGTCCGAAATAAATGTAGAAAAATTTATCCTATCATATAAAATATAATAACTATTAAAATGTATGTTACTTTTAAATAATTTAATGGTTTTCAATCAATTTTATTTTATTGGCTTTGGAATAAAATTATTAAAAAATGAATTATTTAAATATATTGTTAAAATAATTTTAATAATTTATCGAATAATAATATTTTCTAATAAATGACCTAAAAAATATTATAATACTTTATAGACTAAATTGAAATAAAAAATGTGTTATTTACATAAAATGTTATTTGAGAATAATAATAAAATGATGTACATAATGCTTTTTACAGTTTCAATAATACAATAATTTTTTCTATTAGAATATAATATAACTAATCGATACATTTGCAACATATCTGTCTATTGCAGAGATTATAAAAAAATCAAACCCTATAATACATTCTTATATTTTAAGACATGACTTTGGTGTATAGGTATGTATAAAACATTTTTTTTTAAGAAACAAAAAGAACCCAGAAGTTGAATAATAGTTTTTCTTTGTGTTTTAAATACTTTTAATGGACTATTTATTAGTTATATTATATTCAAGAATAGTAGAATAGACTAAAAGACAACAAACTTGATTAAAAACTTAAACTCAACAATTTTAAAAATCATCAAAATGTCTTACAGAACTAGAACATGCATTATAACTTATTATTATGATATATTCACAAAACAAATTTGATAACAAATAAAAACAAAAAAAAATGCTCCTTAAAAATAAAAATAAAAAATAATATAAATTATTGTCAATCAAGGTTTATTGAAGTATATTTATTCATTTTGTTATTAAAAATAACGAAATTCTCCTTTTTTACCAATTCGTTCTTTTCGCACCCAATCAGCCGGTGCTGGACCCGGTGGTGGTACAGAAGTATTTCTAGACGGATCAGAACTCATGCTTTGATCTACAAAGTCACTTTTTATAGACTCCTGTAAAGAAATATGAATTATATACTTACGAAAAACTATGAAGTATTTTTTAGATAGTAGAATTTCTAATTTAGCAGGCTCTTACAGGCAAATATTTACAGAAATCATATAATATTGGTGGAATGCATTCAAAACAAAATAATAAAAGGTGATTGGTATTTGGTAACCAACGTAATAACTAAAATAGGTATGCCTGATTATTATGTACCTCTAGGATCAATCCACCTTTTCTCTAGGTTTCTATTAATAATTTATCATACATGTAAACAAATATGTATATAACATAAACAATTTTACTCATAACCTTATTGAGCAGTAAGAGTTCCTTACTTGTGTGTAATTTTGTGATTGTGAAGCTGATCTTTTATCATACCCTTTAGCATACACTGGATTTGTAAATATATCGTTTGAGTCCAGCATTGGATTAAATGGAGTAACAATAGTATGAGGTACATGAGCCACCTGTGAACGATTATTTCGAGCTTTCCACCATTTTCTACTATCATCCAAAATCTAAAGTAAATAAAAGGGTAAGACTTACATAAATATTTAATACATTGAATAAAAACTATATTCTATATTCTCTATAACTATATCTAAATTTAATAAATACATATATATATATATTAATAGTATGAATCTAATATTAAAATCTTAAAACTTAAAGTTTGTACAAACTGTACACTTGGTAGGGGTAAGGTTGGTATGGTAGGTTGTTTTTTTTTTACGATTGTTATGGTTATTACTTATTACGGTAGGCAGTAAACACGTATATGTGTGGCAAGATTTTTAACTACTATGAACCTGGGTGGTCACCCATCCGGGAGCTAGTAGCTGTGGCCGTTACTTACTCCCAGTCGCACTCTACGGCTGGCAGCAGCCAACATGCCACGCCAAGCCACCAAAGTTAATTTTAATTATTATTATATTATATTTATTTATTTATACCTACTTTATCATTTATTTACATAATCTATGTAGTATACAATGTACAAACAAAATACAATTAATGTGCTAATGATTTTTATAAGAATAAATAAGTACCTAGATATTCATACTATCCAATGCTTTGTTTAAATTTTAATATTTTTTTTAATTAAATGTTCAAAAAAATTGACGTTATCAGATTGACAAAACAATTTAAACCACTAGTCTCTTTATTTCCATTGAAAAATATTGTCAAAATATACTTGACTAAATATTCAAATGTTAATATGTTATTAATTATTATAGCAGACTTACTTCTAACAATTCACCGCGTACAACAGATAGTTCTTTGTCATTATTTGCTGTTCTCGGATAGGTTACTTGAACTATTTTTACACCTCGAGCTCGCATGTCTTCCAACCACCTAGCTTGAGCTCTTTCAAATCTCTCACTTCCCGGCCCACTTGCATTATTACGCTCAATCGAATCAGCAGATATGTCACTGCGTGCCGCCATATTATCTGCTCGTTCTTTATCCATTCTTGGTGGACTATGAAGCGATAGTGTGTTAAAATCAGGTTCAGATTCGCCTTCCAAACTATGTGAATCATCTCTGAAAAAAAGTTTGATCTCAATACTGACAGATAGATGGCATTTACTCTGCCCTAAATGCATTTATATATTAACTACTAACCAGTAGCAAATCTTCAAATTATTTTTAAGTGCCGAGCCACGATTATTTAAAATAATTTTTTCTGGGTACCTACCAACCAATTTTAAGAATTTAGATTTTTTATACGTTAAATGTTTATTAATACATAAATGAAAAGAGAACCCCAGCCATAGAGTCAACTACAACATTTATTTTTCTTTGGAGAAGGGAGGCTGTAGCATTCATATTTTTCTATATTAATCTGTGTGATCATTTTTGTATACTCTCCTGCCTTCAAGTCTAAGTTTGTATATTATTTGAAAATGGTTTATGATAGTTATAAATGTATATTAGTATGTATATATTTCATATATATATATACATTTAATACAAATGCTCTGCCTTAAATTACATATTTCCAGTATATCGAGTTTCTCAAATAAATTGACAGCATTTATTGCATATTAAGGATAGCCAATTTTTCGACTCACAAAGGAAACATTTTTAGTGACTTTTTTGTTGTTATCCACCCCAACATGTATTTTGATTGGAGGAAGGGGGTACCATGAGAATACTTTTGGTCAAGTCTCACCTAGCTAGGCTCTACCCAGTTATGCCAATGCAGCCCCAGAAAAACCACTCTGACCTCCCTTAAAATAAACACCAACAACTAATAATTAAATATAATTTAACTACTCAAATTTTTCCATAAATTAACAATCTAACTTACCTATCATCTGGTCCAAATTGTTCTTGATGATGGCCGGAATAGTTGCCACCAGTATTAAATGTATACTGAGGTCTAATACCCATCATTGCCGATTGTTCGTGTTCATATTCAAAATAGTCACTGCTATCATCACCTACACCAGTGTGTTCTCGATCACGATGGTGATATAAAGTGTCTCGCAATTCTCCCTAAAACAGATTATGAATTGGATACAAATAAACAACCATTAAACGTAAATACATTTTTTTTAAATAATGTTTACCTCAGGATTTGAATTTTTAATTTCGTCTCTTGATTTCTTTGATTCAATTACACCTGCAGTTGGAACATTGGTTAAATGGTCATCAGAAACTGGAATTGGATATTCAGGTGACCACCCATCCATAAAAATTGGATGGTAAGGAGCTGCATAGCCTTTCCATTGCTCTCTATCAAAAATTATTTTTATAATTAATTATAAGATTGTAAATGCCATAATGAAGTAGTAAGGGAATGACAAAATAATATAGATAATTTAAAATGTCAAAAATACCTTGGAATAAGCCAAGCGTCGCCCAAAGAATGCCATAATTCTGTTTCTTTACTGGTTACACAGTTCATCAAGAGATTAATTGCGTCCCTTGTGAGTAAAGGTGATACAACTCTAGATGGAATGTTTGGTTTGTATTGAGTGTCATGAGAAGCATCAACAATCAATGCCAATGGAGTGAACAAGAAATGTACAAGTTCTGGAGCATTTGGGTCGTGGATGTGAGCTTTTAATTTAGCCTAAAAAGTAACAGTTATTAATAATAGTAGATTTTTAACGATTCAATGTAAGATATTTTTGTCTTTACTATAGTCATGCATTTACCAAAAGATTAAATGACAGTTTGAATTTTTGAAAGATATCAATGAACTCGATTTCTGGAGGTGGTTTAGCTCGCATTGTAAGCATTCCGTCACCAATATCCTTCTTTTTAGATTTACGATTCCTTAAAACAAAGTAGCACTATGATTAGTAAGATTACAAACAAAACAATATAAATAAATAATAATTATGAAATTACCTTCTCCGGCGTTCCAGTTCTCGAGATGCAGCGGCTGCATGTTGTAACCTTGCAATGAATTTTTCAATATCATCAAAGCAGTGATTCAGTACTATAACATCTCTCTCATATTTTTCACTAGACGTTGAACTTGTTTCATCATCAACTCTAGTGATATTATCAGAGTCTAAAATATGAAATGAATATGTCTCAAAGTATTGTACATATGATTAATTATAACTAATAGTAATATGTTATAGTAAAACGTTTTAATTCATTAAGTTTATAAAAATAAGAAAAAAACTAACGATGAGCAACAGCATTGAAAACGGACACTTGTTCTCGCACACTGACTCCATTTGATGGTGGATTTGGTGGTGGTGTTGGAGGAGGAGGTGGTACATGTCTTGACTTTCTATTAATTCCTTTTCCAGACCTCAGTAGCTTTAGGTCATCAACTAATTCTTGAGCTGGTACGCTTTGACTCTAAAATATACCATGGTCAGAAAATTAAAAATTAACCTTATGTGGCATAATATGATCAATCTATTACAAACCCATAAACATGTTAAATGTATATTGTACAGATTAAATGTGAATAACAATAAAACTTGAATCGGTCATTATTTTAAAAATAATTTTTATTTTTATCATAGAAATTTAATTTTTTTTTAATATTTGCATGTTCATTGATTTATTTTCAACCACAATAATCAAATAGTAAATAATTTTCCTATCCAGAACAAAGAAAAATTGGCTTTAAACTATTGTGTCATATTAAGAATGCCCATTTAAGTATAGGTATTTCAGAATTTATATTGCAGTGTTTGGAAGTTGATATATTTCCATGTTTTCTATTTTTTAGAACCAGTTAAAACATAGCATAACTGGAATAATGTTTAATTTTAATTTTAATTTTTTATATTCCTTTATTAGTTAATGTAACGGTGTAACAAGATTCAAATTATTGTTTAATTTAACAATTTTTTATTTTAGTTTCCTAAACATTGTTGTCTATTTCATAAAATATGTATTGAACGATGCAATTATTTTCGAAAATGACAACTGACAGTTATAATTTATATCTTACACTGTACAAATACTAGTGATTAACATTAAAATATAATATAGTGATTATAGGATCCATCTTCGTTTAGAAAAAACATCTATTACGTAAATAAACAATATAATTTAAACCCAGATGGTACTATTCGTCATTTGAATCTTAAAATAGAATAAGTATTAATGAATCACATTCAATAACAACAAAATAATAAATAAATAAGACGCTGTAATTAAGTAGAACCAGCTTATAATACACATATTTTCAAATTTGAAATGTAGATGTAAAAATTATTTTAAAAAAAATATTTAAAAAGAAGTTTATACTTTTTGAATTTAAAGATTTTTGACGATAGATTTTATTTAAGAAAAATAATGATATTTAAAAAAATTATGAAAAATAAACTAGACAACTTAAATTAATGTTTTTGCAATCAACGTCTTTCTAAAATCTAGATTTAAAAAATGTTTGTTTTTTTTAATTGATTACATCGGATTTAAATTTTTTTATTTTCAGTATCAAAAATTAAAAAGTAAAAGAAATCATATTAACATGAAGCGCAATAATCAATAAATTATATAATATTATTAAAAAAAAATATTTGAAATATTGATTAGAACAAAAGTTATTTCATTTATCAGGTCTTCCTAGTTCCTGTTTTACATTGTATATTTTCTATAAAATTGCTTAAGAACATAACAAATGTATAAATTCATAACCTCTTTTCTCTTACTTGAAATATGTGCATCTCCGATCGTGAATCAACTTGACCAACTACAAATACTAGAATATTATTATAAATTTCCATTGGATCGTTACTCGTAAAAGCTGTAGGTTCTTTTACTAATGAAATCGGAAATCGTTCCATTACAACCTAAATCAAAAATATAGTAATATTTATTTCAAAACATAATTTTACTTCGATGTATTTTTACTTACACCCGTTTCAAAATCCATTATCAACACCCAAGATTGATCAAGACGCAGTTGCATTTTTTGTGACCAAATACCGTTCGATTTTTCAAGGTGTAATAGTCTCCTCATGCCATCTGCTGGGTAAACTATACCAGTACTTTTTGAAACCGTAAATGTGGCTAAATGTTCGATCACATAAGTTGGGGCTGAATTATTTTCATCACCGTTCCTCTCCTCACCGGCGATACTTTGTTGGCCTCCGTCTTCAAATTGTAAACAAAATTAATTAATTCAAGAAGTCCAAAATTATAATTTAAAATTAAATTGTATTGTATGATCGTTTATTACCTGTTGAGTATCCATTTGAATTGACGCTGTTTCGATGGTACGGCATTATTGGTTTTTCGTTTAGATCTCTGTTAATATAAATTTTCAATTTATATATTTGTTAAAAATACATAATATTATGAAATATACCTTTTGCTATTATTTCCTGGTTGTTGCATCGACATATCTTTCAATCCAGGCATTTCTTAAGGCAGTGAATTGAGGCAACATCTAAGCCTACAATAAAAAAATGCACATTAACCATGTATTTATATGATTGATTACAATATAACTTATACTTTTTTAGATTAATAAATTTAAACTAATTATAATAATATTCATATACCATGTTATCAAAATTAAGTGTTCATTTATAATTGTTATACTTTTATTAACATTGTCTGTAGTTTACAATATTTTTAAAATTGCTTAAACATAATTCCCTGGTAGAATATTATTTTCAGTAGTAAGACCTGTATATATGGAGCCTGAACAACGTGGAAACTCAATTTTATGGGAAAATTTTGCAATACCGGCAAGCCTAATATATTTTGCAATAGGTAGATATGTCGTTCCCTAAATAAATGGAACATACAACCTGTCCAACGTAAAATGGAAACAATATTTTGTAATTCATACATCAATTCAACTAGTATCAAGGATATGGTTTATTGTGGAAATTAGATATAACTAACAAAAAATAATTTGACTTGCGAGTGGTTTATAAGTGCTGCAAGAGCAAAAAGGTCACTACTTCTGGACTATTTTTAGGTATGTAGGATAAGTAACGTCAAATCTATAAAAAACTGTCAAATACCGAATTATTTGAAGACTCAAATGGATACCTACTTGGAGAGTTTTAAAAGTCGATATGATATTTGTAGCAAATATTAGATTGACATTGAGTCAAAATAATATCGTCGACTTACAAAATGTTAATGAATGTATTATGTAAGGTAAAATCAAAATTAATTATTGAAGGATATGAACCTAAAAATATTTATAATGCTTAGGAAACGGGTTTATTTTAATTTATTTTTAAGAAAATGCCTGCTTTAATTTTTCAATTTATAGAAATCTATAGATTCATATATATATATTTGTATTGTTTTTTTTATTTTGGGAAGTATATATTTGATTATAATTTTTAATAATTAATAAGTACTGATGGCATACTGTCATTTGTGATGTACTGATGTATATCGCACACGAGTATCGAAGTATACATCTGTTTTATATTAAATATATATTTACTTTACTATCATTACGCATTCATACTAAACCAAAACTAACAAAACTATTTTTTTTTTTTTAAAGCTTTTTAAATTACTTATAAATACAATTATTTAGGTAAAGATACCGGAATATAGAATTATAACTGTCTAATAATATTAAGGTATATGTAATTATATTTCCGATTTCGATGTTTTATCATTTGATCTACATTTAGTATTAACTAAACTTAAAAAAGAAAAGCAAGTTCAAAAGGCACAATATTGGTAAGTTTGGATAAAATTAGGCAACATAAGTAAATTGGGTATCAATTATGATTGGTACTCAAAGTAATCAACTTATTAACCTACACTCTACAGACCCAGATTTATCGCAAGTGCAAACATTCGTTTGGCTACAACAATTCAAGGCCCCATGTTTTACAAATTTATATAAAATTCCATATACTAGTAATTGTGGCTATCATATAATAATAAATAACTTCAAAAGCATTAATTGTCTAACATCATGATTACAATTATATAGGTATAATTTTATATGTACACACTTAAATTATTACTATAGGTACCTATGTAATAAAATGTAATAATCCTTATCAAAAAATCATTCTTCCTACTCCAACAGACACAATCCAGACTCTTCAGAAACGGATCGAGCCATCCAAGGGTTGATGTAATTTTCAATTGCATAGTATTCACATTATATTATATTGTCGTGTAATTCTCTGAACTATCCCTCAAAAACCTATCCTTCTATAATTTCGAATATAAGATGTAGGTAGTCTCGATATTTGAGTTAGAGTAGGTAATACTACGAAAGAAATTATATTTCAATTACCTCCAACATAATTTCGATTATCTACTACAAATAAAAGGTGTACTATAAAATACAATTTTTGAAAATATTTAATTATTCTTTTCTTTAAACCATTTATATAATATACATGTAGTAATATTTTTCCTTTCCCTTATCAGCTATCCAACTATATTCATGTAAGAAAACTATGTTCAATATTCAAACAACCAATAATAAAATTATTAATTTTTCGAAATATAATATAAAGTGTAAACCTAATATATTTTAGTGTAATAACTATCATTTAATTGTTCAACTATATAGAACAAGAAAAAAATCAGTTTAATAATATTATAATTTTCAAATATAATTTATAAAATTATAAATAATACAAAACAACACCAGGTTGGTATATTTTTTTTAAGTTCAACTAGGTATATGAAAAATTCGTTTGAATAAGTCTTTGAAATAGATGTAGATATTTCATTAAATGCTACTCCAATCATAAGATAGGTATTAACCTACTATAATATCTAATTCTTTCACTTTCTTTGACATTGTCGCACTTATAGGTTTTCTTGAAATATAGATTTGATATCTGCACCAACTATGTTGGGACAAACGTTTATAAATACAATGTTTAAAAATTGATATACGCGGTTTAGCTGTCTCGGTCTTTCATTAATAAAAACGTTCATATTTCTTTTCCTCGAATGCATTTATGAAGGTATTTACTATTTAGTATTCCAACGCCCATTAACACTATTATATTATACCTACCTAGTACATATCGTAATCGTATTCGTATATCTAAGAGAATGTGTAATTGGCATGCCGTTTACTATCGTCACCCATCCGGAATGTAGCTATGCTTGACACGGTTCAACTCTAGACCTGGAATACATATTATTATATCTGCACTCTGTAGTAGGTACCTATATAACCAGTTGGTCGCTGTGCCATGCAAGTTATCTATGTCTGCGTACCTGTACATCTAGTTTATGATAATATTTCGGAATGCTATTTTCTTTCAAAATCTCGAGTATAAAATGTGTAATAATATATTTTCTGTAAAGTATTTTATAATGTTTAAAACTTATTTTAAAATACACATTTACTATAAACCCCAAATATAATATAAACTATTATGTATTTATTAATTAGGTGTATGATGACATATTTTAAACTGATGTAATACCTAATTACGTTCGTTCAGAATTCAATAAAAGTATAATACTACATAGGTATAGTTGTAGTTATAGTTTAAATGTATGATTTGATTCTATTATTTCTATTATTATTTATTACAAATAAAATACTTCATATAATAACACCTATCACACGCCCGGTGATTTAAATTATATTTGTTTCAACATAAACGAAACGACTAACGGCATGTAAACAACATTTTTAACGATAGGTAATTACTAACAATTATTTTTACTCTACGTCACTATACATACTTATAGTCGTTTCGAGTTGATGGACATTTACTGAACACGAAGAAAACAAACGCTAATAAATGTTCTTCACGGATTAGCTCGCATTTGTCACGTACAGATTTAAAACAGGCATGCAACTGAATATTGATTGATAAAATATAAAATAACGGTAGTCACAGTGTTCTGTTAAATGGTATAAATAGTGTTATGAATAATTTTTTTAAAAGTATACAACGGATGTTACTGTATAATCGTAGCATATTGGTGTAGTGGTATATAACCTACAGGTACTCTATATAGGTAGTTTGTATAAGATACTTCAAGAGGTGGGTCAACAATATGTCAATATATAAAAACAGGCTCGTGCATTTTAAACAAATATAAATATGTAAAAATTACGCCAGTTAAAAATTACCCGTTAAAAATTATTTTTTTTAATGCCGAATTATACATAATAACCTATATATATATATATATCGTACATGTACCTACATATATTAGTTTTGTTTTAAAGCACTCATATAAATAGAGGTAGGTACCAGGTACCTATTATAAGAATATGAGGATAAATTATATTTGTTAGTTTTTTTTCTAAATAAAATCATAAAATTAAGTCATATATTTATGAGAAACATATAACATTATGCTAATTTTTCCATTACACTATTACAAATCTATTGTTTTTTTCGTTTATGGCCTTTTTATTTTCAAGAACCATCATTATCTATTACACATATAGCACTATAGGAGGTATTAAAATGTCAACGTTATTCCAATGAAACTAATTAATGTGCAAAGTATTCACCGGTACCTAATATTTTATTATATGCAAGTATGCAACATAATAGCTTAACTGTTTGTTGGAATACTTTACAATACACGTGTGTTCTTATACAGTGTAGTGCCATTATAATATTATTTTCTGAATGCGTTGCCAACAGATTCCTGTGCGGCTGTGCGGTCGTATTAAATCAGAGGTCATTATTATTTCATTACATATAATCAAGTAGGTATAAACTTAACCTTTAGGTTAAAGTTACGGAAATTAATTAGATTTTATAATGCATACAGGAATAACTTACTTGTGGAAGACAATTGTATAACAATGAACGGTAAATACCTATAATAAAATGTGTCATCATATTATAGTTAGGTACACTATATTTTAGCCGTCAGTATTCGATTAATATGAGGTGAATTGAAAGTTGTGAAAGAACGCCGAACGGAGTAAATTGACGAAGATGATGGGGGATTAGAGACTAGAGTAAATCATAAAGAGAAATCGTTATCGTAAAAGTGTTTCTTATCGAAATTTATTCATCTCCCCACCCAACGAGTTAACTTTTCGGTTCTTGGATTTTTTTTTAGAATAGCATAAATTAGCAATTAATAATAATATAATTAATACTATATAATATGTATTATACATTTTTAAAAACTAACTTTCATTTTCAATTGCATTTAATTGATTGATGTTTGAGGGCCTACATTTATTTAAATGTTGTTGATTGTGTATCTACATTCTACACAATGTTGTACCTACACTTTTAAATCTCAAAATATTGGACAATTTTAAGTTCGATAATTGTTTCTTGGATATTGAACCATATACTAAAAATGTATGAAGTACTTTATTATTTGCAGTATCATTCACAATTTAAAATTGTTTTGTATCAGTAGTAGTAGTTATGGTGTGATGGCTAAATATTTTGCGTTTATTTTCTTATTATTATATTAATTAGGTTATCTATATTATGTATAGATATCTTAAAAAAACGTATTTTTAAAAATAATTTTAAAATTATACAATTGAAATATTGAAGAACTCATTATTTTATATTTTATTATGTACCTACCTATATTTTTAATTAAAATTAAATTTCTTGTGTTTTCACTTTTGATACATTTACATTTATAAATTACAAATTAATCATAATTTTATATTATATCATTATTGTTAATTGCCTATATAAAAGTTTAACAATAGTTGTATAAATCAAAATTACTTTTAAAATGATATACAGAAAATCACTGAAAATAATGTGATAAGTCTTGAATAATAAAAACTACGAACGTAGGTACTATGTTAGTACTATACTTAAGACTTAAGACCTGATTACTGATTAGTATGAAATATTGAGAGACTAATAATTGTACATTGTATATTGAGAGAAATATTGGTAACTTAAGACTTTTGGTCGACTTAGTTTTACTATAGTTTATACGTCATGTGTCAATACGTCTTATATTACAGGAATTAGGAGTACGAAAAAATACCAGCGTTAAATATTTTTATATGGTCATCAAATTTAAAATCAATTAAATTCAACTAATACCTATTTTATATTTAACATTTTGATGTTAATACGTTTTTATAAAGTACTATACTGTCATTTAAGTATAGCATAGGTATCACTTTTTAACTCGTATAATCAATTGCTCAGCCTTATGTGTATAACTATTGAGTTTTTAGAGTTAGTTTACGAAGAATCTTTGAAATGAGAGGAAAGAGTAGCTTCTTCACAAATAATTTAATATTAACACTAACTTTAGCTTATTAACGATGTGTAAAGTAAATAGGAAATGTTTTCTCAAAAATGAATACAAAATTATTCACATATTGATAACGAAATTTTATGATATTAACCTACCTTGTTTTTAATAAAGATAAATATCTTATGATATAGATTGGTATTTGGTCATATGTGCAATTTGAGGTATTTAATTGGGGAGGAGGTGGACTTACATTTTCTAAACGCAGTACTAAATAATATTCTGAACTTTATTAAAAAAAATTACACTTACAGTACTACCAGACACTTAAAAATTAGGGACTATAGAAATAGTAAAATTAGATTAAAATAATATTTTTTTCAAATTATCCCAATTTTTTGGGAGGACTTAAGTTCCCCTTCCTCAAATATTTTCTAAAATTATATATGCTTAGTACTGACTTTTGAATTAGATGAACTTATCAAAATTTTCGCACCTCCAAGTTTTCTCCATACTTGCCCCAAGGGGCCGAACACCATGTGGAGTGACTATATAGTTAATAGTTATAATAATGGGCTAAGCCCCCTTCCCCCTCCAAATGACGAGTATGTAATTGGTACAGTTTTTTATAAATACAATTCCATAAATCATAGTGAAATGACGTTAGATACAGAATCCAATTTCTTTATTTCCAATTCTCAATCCCTAATAAATGCATATACTTACTATAATAATAATTATTATTATTATTTTATTACAATATCGATCAAACATATTATTATATATAATATATATACTATGTAGATTAAACTTTTTGTCTAAATTATTAATCGCAGCTATTACTCCCTAACACGGAATTTCTAAATGTTTTGTGTCTACTTTACACACTTTCGTAAAATATGACAACTAGGACTGGGAAATTGTAGAAGTTTATAGTAGTTCAAAATGGAAAATCGAGCTAAACAATCGTGAGTTTAAAAATCGAAAATGTAAGATGCGTATTTTGCATATTTCGTCAATATTTAAGAAAAAGCGAATATTTCATAATAATTTTCATAAGCATATTATTATGCCACCTATTAAATATATTCTAAAAAATTTGATCATTTTTTTTTAAAGCTATGTATTTTAGTTATACTATTGAGCTTTATATTTAATATTATTTAATTTAGGTATTTATTGTTATCGTCTATTAATTTAGCGACAACGGTGGGATGCGCATATAAAATCTTTTCGAATTTACTTTTTTAGTTCAATAAAATTTTGAAATGACAAACAGTTTTACTGCCAAATTTAAAATATTATAAATTCATTTCCTATATTTTATATTTATTTTAGTGCAAATTCGTAATAATAAAAAATGGACTTTTATGGAATTCTGAATTTTGATGAATAAATATTCATTATTTTTTTTGCACATTTTACAACGTTTTTGTGCATATTTTTCCTTTTTTAGCTCCTATAACTTCTGAGCCCTAATAATGAATAATAACGCTATTAAATAGTAAATAATTTAAATACAAATACCTACAGGAAAAAATTAAAAATTAAAGTTATTATTTTATCCGTGAGAAATGTCACTAAGTTATATGTTGATAGTAAATTCAATCGACTCATTAATTCAACAGACCAAGCCGAGCCCTAGTCAATAAAGTGCAAGAATGAAATGAACATCATAATATTATACAGCTATTCACGCTATACAGTATAGGTACAGCTTAGTAAAGGTAAACTTTTCCATTTTATCCTCGACATACTGCGGGATAATATGATAATGAACCCATACGGATACGGTATACAAACACATTCACATTCACCCGAGTAGATTTATTTGCCTACATCCGAGGGCTATTTGAACCGATTAGTATATATTATAATACATTTGTATACGAATACTTTAATATATTGTAATATGCAGATATGTAGCATAACGACGAATGGTAATTAAATTTATCGTTATTTCGTGACTCGATATATTTTTAATTATTATTTATTATATATATGAATACACAAAATATGGTCTTCATACTATAATACTAATAGAAATAGCATAAAGTGCCAAAAACATATTAGATACATAGGTACGCATAAAATCAAAATGTTATTTGAATAACATGTTAAAATCAAAATTGAACAAATAATCATCCAAAATTGCAAAAAATTATGTATATTTAATCCATACAATTATTGTTTTAGAGTTGGTATTTCAAGTCAGAACCTACTCACTGGAAGAATCCAAAAAATAATAGGTACCTAAATTTGTAGTTATATTTATGTATTAATTATTTTATAATTTGTATACATACTTTTAGTAGGTACCCATTATAAAATCAGTTTTAAAATGTAAAATATTATTAAATAATATGTATAATACGTAGTATATGTAATAGTTGAAGCCCCTCCTATATTGGCTAAATATATACCCACAGATATTTAATATTACCTATATATCTAGGTAGGTACATCTCAACGAATGCCTACCTATATAAATATAAATACAGACTACAGATACGTACGTAAATACATAATATCGAACAATAAATATTAAATATGTGACATATTATTAAAATTATTATCATGCCGCACGGAATGAGTAAATAACAACATAATAATGGATACCGAAGGTCATCAAAATGCCACACCTATATGTGCGCGGATCGTTTTAACATTCCAGAACGTTTTTCACCACCACATAATGCATACCTATATAATATATACACATCGCAACCTGAATGCGTAAATACATTATTATATTGTGCGGCCATATGGATATGCATATCAACATGTAGCTGGATATATATTACTTATATAATATTTAGTATAGTATTAATTAGTGATAACAATAATATTCGTATTAAATATTAGGTATAGCCACGATTAGGTATTTACTACGCAATCAGTGCCATTAGGTCCTACGTCACGTTTTCGCATAAATAATCACGGTGTGTATGTTTAATTTATAATGTATTAATTATTATGTATGTATTATAATCGGTTCTTTGTTTATATGTAAGTATGTTGCGCACACCAAAATTCATTTTGATTATTCCGAGGAGATAAAAATCGATTATTGGCCCGTTACAGCCAGTGCGGCACATTGAGGGTTAAGTAACTTATAACTTATGAGTAAATAATTTAGGTACATATTAAATCTGGCATACCATAGTATATAATATTCAACAACCTCTTGAACTAGAATCAAACAAGCCGAATCGTTGGAATTTCAAAGCAACGCCGAGCAGACACGTATATGAAATAATAATAATGATAATAATAATAACACCGTTGAAGTCTCCGAGCAAGTTTTTGCGATCAACAGCACTGAAAACGAACGCTCATACTCGTATGGACATATTTATTATTATTATAACATAAAATGAATATGATATTTTTTACTAATCTCAGCGTTATGGGCAATATAAACAACTGGTGATTTCGATTCGGCTTGTGGTGGTTTTCATCACGTACCTATATGGTACCAATAATATCCATAGATAATATAGGTAGGTACCTACCAGATTAATAATAATAATAGGTGTTACACCAGTTGTATTGAAGGTACGTCTAATCTCAGTGAATATATATATCAGTGCATATATAGATATAAAATACACGTCGTGTACTGTCATACTCCAGTGAAAGGAACACTGCTGCTACAATACTGTTGTTGCAGAAATCTCCATGGTGGACGTAGTCTATCGAGACGGCTTATATTTAAGTATGGTACATATTATGTGACTACCTAGCTATATCTAGCTAGTCTTTCCGACTGTCCATATAATATTAAATTTATAAATGATTTTATCATTTACACTGTAGGTACATAGTGTAAATTGTAAATACGATTTTAGAAATAACACGAAGTTAAAATAATTTGTAGTACGTCGAAATCCGTCGGGTGCCAAATTACGATGTTATACACCTTTAACCGTTTTGGGTACATGATTGGTATACAATACATATCGAAATAATCAGTGCACTGATGGCGGCTCTACCATTTTGATTTGCTATTAGGAATTTATTTAAGAACCTACCTATAACGACTTCTTATGCAACAGTTAAAATCAATTTCCTGCAACGTCTGACATAATAAATTTAATATATTACAGCCTATACAACCGTTAAATCTACTACTGATGATTTCGACGGAATCGCGAGTTTTACATACCTCGATAGCAACGACCAGCAGCGGTGATGAGACGAACATGTGTGAACAGGAGTAGAGATATCTTTAAATCTGGATCAATATAGATCGGCTGTGAAGACTCACGCGCCTCGAACTGCTACGACAGTTGTAACAATAATAATAATTTTTTTTTGTGCCCACAGGTATATGTGCGTGCAGTGCCAATCCGTTGTCTTCGTTACGCCGTTGACGCTGATGATAATGCGCGATGTTCTTCTCAGGTCTTTTCGGTCCACGAATTTCCCCGACGACTGCGGTGGACTGCGGTGCACAATTTGCAACACTATTATTTAGTATACAATTTGCGGCGAGGATACTTGAGATTTTATTTTATATCTATCGTCTCTCCTCCTCAGGCAGACGACGGCACGGATGGGCGAGAGAGAGAGACAGATATAGAGAGAGAAAGAGCGAGAGAGAGAGCGCGGGCGGCCGTATTGTTTATAATAACCATATAATACCTAACTGGCTACCTACAATATCATAAGTACACGATCAGTAATATGATAATATATCGACCGCAGTCGATCGTTGGCGAATAATAACAATCGATAAAGGTACGCGACGAGGGTCGGAATAGTAATAGCACGGTTCTCTCTATTCGCACGTAATACTGGTACAAAAATGATTGTTACAAACAAACGATGATGAATACGATATGGGCAAGACGAATGTACCAAGTACAGGTGGCGTACAACGCGAGAGATTCCGACGGATTCGGCGACTGTACTGACACGGGAAAAGAGAAACACGCACGGCGGAGAAAACACAAAAACGCGAAACGCGAAACGTCGACCGTCGGCGTGTGCGTGCGCGTGTGCGCGCTGTTGCAGCGGTTGTGAAAGCCGACCGTCGTCGTCGGAGTGTGTTTAGTATATACCTTTACCTTTACGGCTCCTTCGAGTAAGTGCGACGACGTCGACGATGACGATGATGATGATGATGATGATGACGATGAAGATGATGATAATGCTGATGATGATCAAGAATAATAATAATACGTACCAACAGCACTGCGCGATACGCGATCGGCGAGAACAGGTGCCCGTCCGCCCTCCCTACCAGAATATTGTTGTCGTCGTAGCACGCTCGACTCTGGTTACTGGTTAGTATCTATCTACCTGGCGGCGAGCAGCCGCGTTACGATACGAAATATGTTGCATTATTGTGATATTATATATTATATATATTTATATATATAATATATATACACCTATATATACGTAAAGGTACCTACGTCAACCAGGCACCTGCAGCAGCTGCAGCTGGCTATATTATAATATTCGTAACCTACCTACCGACTTACAAATTACAATACGTAATATTTTTATATTATTAATACTATTTATTAATTCCATGTTCTGTTTGAGTGATGGTACTGTCTCATCCGCCAAAGAGTGACGTGTGTGGCACACATCAATATACACAGGCACATGGACATAATATTTGACATATTAGTAGACATTTATAGTAAATAAATATGCACCAGACTATATAAATATATAAGAAATATAAGTTAATACAATTATACATATAAGACCATACATAAAACATTACACTGGCGTCCGAATATTAAATGGCCTAGGGCCCTAGGGCCTAGGCTATTGCCCTACAGCTGTTAACTATTTGAAATTACATAACATAGAATATATTTTTGAAGTCATTTTTATACCATATAGATAGTTAAATAATAAAAAAGTAGATACCTAACTGCTCTGCTGTACAGTAAGAAGTAGGTGTCAAGTGTACATCATCATTAAGATATAGTCATTGTAATAATGTAAGTGTTAAATTTGAAGTCAATGATGAATGATTTTAACTAATAATAGTGTTAATGTAAATTTTTTTTTTAGAATTGTTGGTTCAAGTACTCTACTTACAGGGAATCTTGTACTTACATTTCAAGACTTAGATTTAAAAGTAGAACATTTAAACATTTTTAATTACAAAACAGTTAACCATTTTTCGTGACTTTAACGGATTTTTCAAAAATATGAACTTTAAATGCATCAAAAAATAATCTTGACTATGAATCAATAATATTTTGAAATAGGTATAAATTATAATAATATCTTATGTGGAACCTTGTTTTAAATCTTCAAGCTGTTTTACAAAACGAAATTTTTTTTAACGATATTTATAGAAGAAAAAATTTAAAGAAAATCAAAAATGTCACTTGTTTATAAATAGCTTAAAAAATAGTCAAACCATTTTAAACATTACACCATGTGTCCATGTATAGAAAATGTTATTCAAGTATAAATACAGTTATTCGTTTATGAATTATGAAAATTATTTGGTTAGATATTATTATTTATCCTACAAAATCTTAACTCCAGCTGACGATCATAAAAATACTTGTGGAATTGTTACACTCAACATTTTTTTTAAACTCAACTAATAACAACTTATACTTTGTTGACAGAGCGAAAAATCGTTATCGGATTTGTTGAAAACTAGTTTTATGTAACTTTGTTTTTGTCCTACTATAGGTATGCAAAACATACGAGATAGGTACAATATTATGAAAGTGGGAAAGTAGATAGCAGTTTTACTGTACAGTTGTAGTCCAGCTAGTGTACCTCGTCATTTTAAATATCTAAGGCTAGGTATTCGTTTTTGAGTTAACTACATGGCTACACCAAAAAAATAAAATCGACTTCGTCAAAAACTGGTTTTGCGTAAAAATTTCCGTTTTTTCAAAATTTAACTTTCTTAATTTTTAATCAAAAAAGTATGGTAATTAAAATGAAAAAGACTGGATTTTTATAACTTCCTAATTTTTGTAAATAGGAAAATAATACAATTTTGTGGCTAGGTGTGTTATCCCAATCAAGTTAGCTTCAATATTAGATAATGTATTAATGATATAGATCCGATATAAGTAACTCATATCTCCGAAATTAGAGAATATTCTGTGGTTTAAGGTTTTGCTTGAATCACATTGGCAATTGGTTAGGAAAAGTGCAGTGAAAAGTTTCAGACCTTTATATTTAATAGTTCATTCACAATACAGTACTTTAAAGTTCTACATCACACACATATTACATATATACGTAAGAAAAATAACTAAGAACTATATAGGTATACATTATTCAGTGTACGAGGCCGGGGCCCGTCATTTTTTCTCTAGAGTCTCGTTCATGTTTTATTTGCTTGGTCTATGTTGTAGGGAGTACATATTTATTTAACCGTACATAGTTTTTAGGCTCATTTTTCTTATGCCCGTTCTGAGAATTATTGGGATCTAGGGCAAAAAAAAATTTGGTAAAATATGTGGCATGTACATTTTTTTAGGGCCACTTAAAAACCTGATCCATGGGCCGTTAGTGTATATAAGAACAAAGCACCAACTACAACAATTTCTTAAATATTTTAAGAGGACCAAAAAGTATATGATGAATTGTACCCCATTTTATAGGTGGAAACTTATAAATTATTTTTGTAAAAATGTGTGTTTGGCTCAAAAAATGTTCAATTTTGAGCACTGCCTAAACTCTAAAGAACAATTTGATTTACGTCTATTGTAATAAAATAAATACATACAGTTAAAAATTCTCCAGAAATCAAAAATCAAGGAAATGTATATGCTGACATTGACTTGGCGAAGTTTTTTGGTTTTTCCCGATTATTTTAAAGGTAATGAGAGTTTTTAATTTTGACCTCTCAAAATTAACACTCAGATTTAATTTACTATCAAATACCACTCTAAAAGTTAAAAGTCGAAGAAGTTTTCCTATAACTATTTGTGTATACGTGAAACATTTTGTGTATTTTGCCCAGACAAAAAAAGCACACATCACTTAAAAAAACAGTAAATAAGTACATTCATCCTACATCCGCAAGTCATTGCCCATATGCATTTTTGATGTTTTTAAATTTCAGTAAGATCAACTTATGAGGAACCTTGTATTTGTATTAAATGTTCAAACTTATTTAGGTATTTGAAAACAAAAAATGTATTATTCATAGATAGATAAATTGAAAAAAAAAACCAAAAAAAAGGTGAGTACATTTCAAATAATTATAAATAGCAAAAAAGAGTCGAAATATTTTGACAATTATATCTTTAAAATGCTGACATAAATATTTAGTGAAAAATACAAATTAATCTACATTAATTAAATATCGAATTACAAAAAAAAAACAACAGATTTAGTCAAAAACAGTTTTTGCATAACATTACCCGTTTTTTCTTAATTATTATTTTGGTTATTGTCGATTATTTTGAAAAGCACATTGATTTCTCTTTTCACCTCTTAAGCACCAACTAACCGGGAACGGCGGGAACCACTTTTGAAGTTGAAGAACAAAAATTATTGTTTACTGTAAAAAGTGTGTCAACGCTTCTACGGAATTTTATTCACGATAAGACGTAACTATACGTATTATACGTAAATAATGCTTCAATTTTCATCTTAAGCATTTTTTTGGTGGGAAAGTAAATGTAGTTGGAATTGGTCAATTCTAGGAGGTCAAAATGGACGGTAATTAAAAAATTAAGAACTGTAGATACCTACTCGTATTGTGTGAGATTCGCTTGTGATTATGCGATCAGCATAATATACTATGATAATATTATTATCAGGTGGGCGAGAATAGGACCCCGTGAGGTATATACGTAAGTTATAAGTATATAATTATTAATTTCTGACTCTCAAGTGTTAAAGTTATACCAAATTTGACGTTTTTACTTAATTCAATCTAAGGTGGATTGGATTTGGATTTTGGATACAATAATGTGCCATCCGGTGGTTTTTGACATGGATGATTTCGCCAGGGAAAAAATGATGAATTATCTAATACAAATTGGCGTATCTTGGTTTTAACGTAACTCAGTTCAGATTGCAATACGGTCAGGATGTGATATGCCAATAAGGCAATAACCTTTGAGAAAGTGTAGGTAATCAACAAATTCCCATGTTTCACGGCGATGGGATGAATAGTGTAAGAATGCATAAAAGTCAAAGAGATACATACATTAGCTTATATATATAGATACGCAAGTCATAAAAATTTAAAGAATTATATAAGTGCACCATTTAAATTAAACAGTACCTATTGTTAATTGTTATGATTTATTTTACTTTATAAAGCTTATCGTGAAATCTTATCATACACAATATATTGTATGGTGTATACAATTTTTTTCGTGATAATTTAGAAACCTTGCATTGGGATGGCTAAAGCCCGCCACAAAACTTTCATGGAGGTTGTATCGTAAGAATGCACAAAGAAAAAACAAACAGACATACAAAACGAAATTCAAAAACAGTTCTAACATACTTTCATATAATACAATAATAACAACTAGTGTAATAAGTTGTTATTTTATTTTTTTTTAATTTAAACAATTTGTAAATAATTATTATAGGTAGGTAGATATTATTGGTGTATGCCAATGCATTCTAGTTTGATATTGATATTTATATATATTAATATTTTGTGTACATAATATTTTGTAATCATGAATGATATTACATAGCCTGACATAAGTACCTTAAATATCTTTAGTACTTTCTTTCTAATGAACTCAACAAACAAATATTTAGTATCTAGTGCTATGAATTTCTGAAAAAAAATGAACATACATTTTTAGGCTTTTGTAACTTTAATTGCATTTATAGGTAAAACTTAAACTTGCAGTGAGTTATAACTTATAAATTTCAAAAATATCATATATCTTGTAACTACTAAAGCAAAAAATCTACAATAAACATTTAATACACACAGATTATTTATGTCAACGTATCATGTGGAAATTAGACAATTATATATTCATATTGATATCTAACATTTTCGAAGTTAATATTTTCCTTTTTACCCAAATTAAAAGATATGTAAGACATAAGTAAACATTACAAAAATATCCATCAACTCTCTCAGTATAACAAAAATTATAATAAAATAATTCTATCACAAAAGACCTAGAATAAACTAAATACTATAGTTCACGAGAAACTTATTTTGATATTATGTTAGTAGGTTATCTACATATTGAATGTTTTATTCGATTTTCTAAATGTGGCACAGTAGTTTGTATAGTGATCTTTACAAAATAGATGAATTATTAATAATAGTTATACTTAGAAAAATAAACTGAAATTTAAAAAATGAAGAGTAATTCTAATTTTTTTTTATTAGTATAAAGTTTAGTGTTAGGAGAAATAACCATAGAAATAATTAGTATAATAAAAAAATCAATATTTTTATGTTATTGAGTAATAACTTATATAATTATTAAATACATTATGACTTCATAGTAACAAAACGAGATCATAATAAGTATAAAATCATTCTAGGTATAAGAATACAAATTGAATTCAGTAATTAATAACTCATTTCATAGTTCTAAAGGTAGAAAATAAATTAATAAGAAAACAATTGTTTATACAGTTTTTTTTAATTGAATTTAAAAGAAAATAATTATTTTTTTTGTTTCTTGATATAAGTTTCATGTCCTCTGATAAATTTGACAGGAATTTTATATTGTTCTGAAAAAAAAATATATACTTAATTAAAAATGATACTTTATTCATTTATTAAACAAAATATTATAAAACAGTTATCAGATCAACTCCACATGATGTTCTACATTTGCAAAGCGTGTAACTTACACAAGCTATATACATTATATACCCTAACAACATGTAACACTTTCTATGAAATCAAAATTGATCACATATGGTATTATTGACGAGTAATTTTTGTAGTTGCTCAACATTCTGCATATTTCTATTAAGACCTCAAAAATATAGTTTATATTTTTAAAATTTTAATTGCAAAGAAAATATTATTATATACTTTTGTTGATATTATATGAACCATCTTATATTTATTAGCCTATTTCAGGTATTAAATCTATTTTTTTGCTTACCACAAACTTCTATTACAGTGCGCTATTATTTACTAATGGCTTCAAATAAAATTATTTGAAATTATCATAAATCAGCAAAATATTATAATAATTTTGTACCAATTACTAGGTCTCATATCTGTTATTATTAACCCTTAATTATTGAGAAGAAATTTTCTTGTTATTTGTTCTATCTATAATCTTATTAATAATAAAATTAATTATTCTAAATTATTGTAGGTACTATATACAATATTCCTTTTTTGCCGCAGTCGGAGTTACAGCCATTTTGGACATATTAACAGAATGTAATTGAACAGAATAAATTTTAATGACTTATAATATTAAAGACTTTGATTTATTTCACCAAGATATGAATCGTCTAAAATGAATTATATTATAGTAAATGTATTGTTTATTGCTGTATTTTGTACTAGTATTTAAGTATTGTCTATTATTTTATTACCTACAGTAATCAACTGTACTGTAAAATTTGCTTTCGGGGCGTTTAATAAGTTATTTTTATTAATTTGTCAAGAATTGTATACTTGTCTTTTCATTGTCTTGTAGCATAATAAATACTATCCAGTGCCTATAAAGGTATAAATATTGATAATAACAATAATCGTAGAAACTTAAATATATTTCAAGCGCCACAATTCTCAACCACTAATCTAATTTATAAATTGAGAATTTTTGGTTATGAATTATTCACAAATTAACACTAGGTTAACAGTTATTTTGCAGGAATACAACATTTTATTCTGGACATAGGGTCAGGAGGATCCAATGCTCAAATTATTTTTTTATGTGTAAATTACTTATTTTAAACACTTATAATATTATAAACTTGCCTGTTAATAATTTAAACACAAAAAGAATTTGGGAGCCTTGAATTTGAACTTGTCTATTTTGTGCATTTGGTATGTCATTAATAGTTGTACTGGCAGCTACACCATGTTGACATTCTTTACTAAATTTTAAAACATCGACACCATATAGCTCTAAATTATTAACTAGAGTCACCTGAAATAATGTAAGAAATAAAATTAATTTTTTTTTATTTTATCACAATTTATTTTTTCATGTTTATAAGCAAACCTTCTTATTTCCACTTCGATTATTGACAGTCATTTCAATATTATTAATTTTTTTCTTTAAGTTTTTTTTCGTTTCAGTATTTAGAACTGATATTTCAGTCCGGTGCATTATTTTTGTTACTTCTTCAATTAAATCTTTGAAGGTTATTGAAGACTTGTCTTTTCTTTGAGACAATATTTTTTTTAAGACATCATTTGTGTTTACTATCCTAAAATAAAATAAATTACAATAGGTTGCTTAATCTTGACATATGGAGCGGAGGTTTTTTTCGTATTAAGCAACAGCCACGCAAATAAAAGAAGTATATTGAAATAAAAAACATAGAATTTGAAATATTAAATACTCATATTTTATCAGCATAAGATATATTATCATATATTGTTTAATATAAAGGAATAATAGTACCAGCCATCCCAATGTAAACAAGTTAGGCAAGTTAATCTATTCAAATGACTGAAAATGGTTTTGGTTACCAGTTATGATAAAACAATATTTACATGTAAATGAGAACATAATACACTCCTTATTAATTAAACGTCCATCAAATTTATTTTTAAAGGTTCCATGGCTGATATTCTGTCTGTATTATCAAAGATAATACTAGACTTTTTGATTTGGTCTTAAGAATTTTGTCAGTGATAGGCAGTTATCTAAATTAAGCGACAACAATTATAATTGAAAAAAAATTTCGATGAGATGTATACTAATACATTGATATTAGTACTATTAAAAACATTACTTGTTCATACATTTTCAATTCTGTATTCAAAAATAAAATTTATCTTTATAAAACATACCTAACTATTTAATCATTTTAATTTAAATTATATCTAGTTACATCTTTTAAATATTCATAATAGTATGTCAATATCATAACAACATTTTAAAATAATCAATAAAGATTGAAGAACACTTTAAAAATTGGGAAAACTATTATTTAAAGTATTATCAAAATAGGTAGTATAAATGAAAGAAATACATACGAAGGGTCTGTTTTATCTTGTAATTCATATTTCTTAATATATTCCGTAACATATCTCCGAACAGATGATAATGGTAATTCATCTCCTTTTCTAAAAAGTTGAATTTAGAAATATTTAAGTTTAATGGTTATATAATCAATTGATAGTTTAAAATGTTTAAAGAATATTAACAAACCGACAAAGAAATTCTGAAAATATAGGTTGTAATCCTGGTGTCACTATATAAATCTCTTTTACTGGAGGTGTATATTGATCATCGTTTTCTTTCAACTCAGAATTTTCTTCTACATTTATATCTTGAAATTTGCTATTATTATGAATGACCTGAATTATTTCAGCAATACCATTACTACCAACATTAAATTTGATTATACCTTCTACATCTAATAACTGTAAAAACGTTGTTAACTTTTTAAAACTAGTTTTTTTAATGTCAAGTTCTATTCCTTCTGGACAAAATGACATTACATATTTCTTATAAAATGTACTGGCTAAAATTGGCAGCATTTCTTTTTTAATACAATGCTTTAAGGCTTTTAATGAACATACCATTAGTAATTCATCCATTTTTTCAATAACAGTTCGAGTATCTTCTAACTGATTTGGTAAATCATTATTTAACTCAGGAGCATTTTTAAAAGAACGTTCCATCGTTAAAATTACATCAGGAATAATGTTTAATATGTTAGATTTAAAAAGTTCATCTTTATGATAATGTAACACTTTTAAACAGATGTCTTTGTTTTTTTCATGGTTTTTTATAGTGTTTCCATCAAGTATCAAGTATCCAATAGCAATAATTTTTTCACATGTGTTGGTACATATACTCACGCACTGATCAACTGGCAACGGAATTAGTAGTTGATCATTATTCACAAAAGTTAAATCTTTTACAGTTAGTTCTGCTGAGTTGAGTTTTGATTTAAAATTCTCATGTAATATTAATCTGGGTACTATGTGAGGAAATGACCAAACCATAAACAACGTTGGATAAAATTTGCCTTTAAAATCAAAAACTAACGCAACTTCTTGAGCACAATAAATCTTGACTATGTCATTCGTACAGGTTATAACCTTCAACAGCGATAATTGTTTATGATTCAAAAATTCATCCAGTATCTCATTGGTCAAGTTAAAACATTTGCAAATAGTCGATTTGAGCTTCTTTCTAAAATCATAATATAAATATTAACCATAATACTAAAAATCTAATATTTCTTAAAAAAAGGGAGCATTAAGGGAGCATTTACTGATCGGCGCCTTTTAGAGCAGTGCTTGATTTGATGCGGAATTCGTTTTTGAACATAATTTATAAGTCTGATTGTAATTGATTGTTTATAAACAATTTTTCGAGCAGACAGGTTCTTAATAAATTCACTCGACAACCGATATACTTATAGTACTACCTTATAACCACGAACTTGCAGCAATATTTCTCAACCTGTGAGGAAAATTAGTGTAATGTAACAAAATTAGGTAGAATTAATATAATATTAAGTTATTAACAAATAACGCATAGTGCTTACCGGTATTGTTCTGTGTTCTCACCAGCTCTCACAATTTCGGAATATTGAATAGCCAGAATCGTTGTGGAATTAAGTCTTAAAGTGCGCAAAAAATTTAATTACATATTATTTAAATTTTATGTAAGATTATAATAGCATGGATTCAAGTCCATCAAAAGTATTTAATGTGATAAGGACGCGCACTATCGTCGAGGTATCAATTGTCATGTTATCACGAATTACATCCATGTGATAACACGATCGGGACAACAACTGACCCCAACACGGCCAAACTTGTTGGCGACACTGTGGCATCCTATCAGTGCTGTTTGTCGGTTAGGAGAACAGACTGCCTGTACGGTCATTGGACAATGATCCGGTCGCACACTCTCAAATGCTCCCCACGACAACAACAGATATTACGATTTACGACTGCGTTATTTTAACGGTTTTTTTTGCGGCAGCTCGGGCCTCTTACAAATTTTATTTATTTCCGTGTTTCACTCTTATCGTGTAATTAATGGTCGGTTCAGTATTTGAACTAACGACGGCATACAGTCGCGACGTTTCGTGTTGATGTTTATCGTTTTATATTAATAATTTTAAATTATTAATGCAGGTTTTGTAACGATGTTTTTGGAACGATCGGTCACCCAGTTGTAAGACAACTCGCCATCAATAGTCTTGCTGAAATTTGATTCCATTCGCATTCTCTGACCTTCAAGATGTCTCAATTTGTTGTAAGTATTGTAATCTGTGCTCAGTAAATTGTATAAGGACTGCTTACTGGTCCAGAATTAATACCACTACAATTCTGTTATAATTAACTACACGTTTTAACTAACAGATTTGTATAAAATGAGTTCTATTTAAGTTAATGCCTGTTTAGAAATGTGAAAGCACAATATTTTCAAAGATAAGATGATGGTATAATTACTGTAGGGCTTATATTTATATAGTGGAAAGAGCTGTACCTACTGCGAATCATTATTTTAATTTATTATTTGTTTAATGAACTATAATTTCCTTTTGTATAATTAGAATTTTCCTAACTATTTATAAAATACTGATGTAGGTAGTACCTCAAATAGTGGGCATATCACTATAGTTCAAAGATTTTACCATTGTTGAAGAAGTCGAATCATTTACTTCAAGACGAGGCAGTGCTTGATTTGGGAGTGGAGCGTAGGGGACGTAGTTTTTTTATAATTTTTTTTTAGCGTACCCCTTCTATTTATTTGAAACGGAACTCTGGGAATGCAGCATTTACTATACTGAATTTGTAAATCATCAGTTTTTCTGATGCAAAATATACCTATTTATATATATATAGCCATAATATTTGTGCATTAGAATTGACTATGATAAAAAAAAATTGATAATTAAATTGCTACGAAACTGTATGATACCCACAAAAATATAAGCATAGGTATATCTATGATTATGCTGTAGATACATAATTTTATGAATTAAATCTTTATAAATCGTAGTATAAATTATGTTATTGAATGATGTATAATGATTTGTCTTATCTCCAATTACCAAAGTATTATTAGTATTAATACTGTATATTTTGTAGAACAATTAATTAATAATTTAACATTTAATGTCTTAAAAAAAATAATTAATGAACAAGTGTTTTTTTATTTTAAAATAATTTTTGCATAATAAATTTAATGATTTTTTAGAATTATGGGTGGCTGAAGGGGGTTGTGGAGTGCAAAGCTCCCCTTGGTAATGAGACAGTTAATTTTGTGTGGAACGCTCGTTTATCAAACATCCGCTGAGTCCCCTCCTAATTTTTGTCCAAATCAAGCACTGAGACTAGGTAATTGTACTAGTAACTTGTCTTTAAATATAAACTTCTATTGTTTATCCATATTTTCCCGCCCAGCAATAGGATTGACTTCTTTTTTATTCATGAAATTTGCTTTTTCTCAGACCCACTCGACATAGATGAAACAAAGTTGAGTAAAAGCATCTAGGTATTGGAAAAAATGGAGGAAAATATTTTTGAGGGTATGTGTAAAGTATCGATTTTGTATTTATAATTATTTAACTTAAAAAATAATATAAATATTTTTTAAACTTAAAATGGATTTCAAATGGTTTTGAAAATATATTTAAACTAGTTCTTTAGTCAAGAGTTAGGCTTGAAAAATTATTCCTTACAATTTTTGTAAGATTATCTTACCTAAATACCACTCTAAAACATTTTTTATGTAAAATTATTTTGTGTAAGTATGTTTTGTCTGTTGGGTATAAGATAAAGAGAAAGAAAACAAACAGTACTCATGCTCTCCATGATTGAATATTGTCCTTAGTTGTTGTACATTTTTGAAACAATTAAAAATATTCATAACAGGTAGACACCTAATTGAAAGAATATTTTTATATTATTTAAAAACCTAGGTACTAGGCATTTATAACTGAACTTAAATATTTTATTATCTTACATTGAATAGTTTTTTCTGTTTATTACAGCAGGTATGGTAGGTTCCTAGATGATTTACATTTTTATGCAACCTTTGAAAACGTTGAAAAAACACTGCCATCAGACAATTAATTCTCTTAGAATTTTGATATTAATTTAATGTACTTTCTAATCTCAGCAGGTACTCATAAATTAAACTGAATAAAAAAAAAATGTATGAATAAAAACTTCAATTTATATCGATTACCGAACTAATTAAGTAATTTTCTTATTACACAGTTATAAAAATAAAGGATTCTTTTCTTGGTTGATATTGACATGGATACATGTTACCTATGCAAATAATTTATATTTTCGGTATACTACCTACATAGTATGCAGTAAATGTTTTCATTAAATATTTGTGGAGTATATTATGCAAAGTATCTTTTTCAAAAACATTTGGAAAAACAAACAAAAAAAATTAAGAAATATTATAAACTGTTATGCGAAATCAGTTTTGTTGAAAATTTTTAACTTACAAAAAACTAACTTTAGATACATGAAATACATAAATTTGCTATGTTTAAAACTTGTAAGATGGAGACAACACATGCTTAATACAAAATTTAATGAATTTATATTTAGAGCTTTGTTGTCCGAATAATTAACTTACAATATACATCTTAATTACCATAACATTAGTGTTAATCTTAGAGTGGGTATTGAAGTTATGACATAAAATATCAATACAAATTTTCATATTATCTAATACTAAGCAAATGTTTTTTGTATACAAAAAACTTTTATCATTGAAACCTTTATATTAAAAATTTTTTATTCAAGTAACCACAGAAAATAAAGTAAGTTTATTGAACATTTATTCGAGTAATGAGATTAAAGTGATATTCAGATTCCAATCGGATGTTCCTCTCCAAAAAGACTTACACAACTCTAGGGTTCAGGTTTTTAGGTACAAAAATTTTGAAATATGAAAGTTACTATTCTTTTCTAAAAAAAAATTTAACATGAAAAAAATTATCAATGAAAGTAAATATTGTGCTTTAACATACAGTTTTTTTAACCATAAATAAACTCTATTATCTAATCCTAGTCACTAAATCACAAAAATTAAATTTAAGAGGCTGGTATAATCATTTTTGTCATTTTTGTTTAAAAATTAACAATAAACTAATTATTTGTACACACAATTACATAACTTCATAGTTTTGTACTTAATTTGTCATTTTTTGTCATATCTGGAAATTAATTGGATAAAATTGTCTTGATTGTTTAATTGTTTCTAGACTGAATTTTCACCTCCCGTGAAATTTAAATCAAAGCTCGAAGATGAAGCAAATACAGTGCTTGAGTATTATTTGGTATTATCGCCGTTTCAAAAGCAGACTCAAGTAGAATTTTCAAATGTAAAAATTAAAGAAACAGCCATTAGATTTTTGACGGTTGTTAATTTGCTTGACAAACCTAGACAGGTAATAAAACTTAATTTTCCTATTTTTATAATTTACTTAATTAAATGAAACTCTTATTGGTTTTATTATTTAAATTACATTTTTACAGTTTGTGTTACCTTCTTCAAATGATGGTATATATTTTGATGTTTATGAATTCACCTTACAACCAAATTCACAACGTAAGCTATCAATTACTTGGCAACCATCTGTATACGGAAACATGCGTAAATTGATTAAAATAGAACAAGTAGATAACAACAGAAAATATGATTTTGTTATTTTTGGAAATTGTATTGACCCTTTACACAAGAAATTAAGAGTAAGCTGCTTAAGTGACTTTTCTGTACTTTTTGGATTTATCTCATTATTGGTTATTTATTTTACAAGTTTCATTTATGATAAATATTTTTCAGGGTTCTTCAGTAACATTAGCCAAGTCTAAAAATTCAATTTTGGCTAAAAACAAATTTAATGGTGGTCAGAATAAAATAATTTTGAATAAACCCAAATTTGTTAATTGTGCATCAGAAAGAATTATTTTAGTTGATAATGCCACAAAAATATCTGAACCTATTAATGCGGGAAATTTGGAATCACCTATGAGGCGGCAAACATATTTAGTGGGTGAAAAAGAAAATATTCCAAATTTGGAAAATAACATGATTGACCATAACACAACCTTCACTAGTTTTAAACGTTCGGATAAAAATCGTCAATATACCACATTCAATAGCAATCACATTCATACCCAAAATACAAATTGTGACATCATGACAGATGATTCACTGGATGAATCGCTCATTAAATTAACCAACACTAATTCTCCATTTAATGACTTTTTTTTGACCCCATTGAAAAGTACTGAAAACTTAATTTCTCCATTCAGTACCACAAAAAAATGTATTAGTTTTGATAAAGCTGATGAAAACATGGGTTTTACTTCATTCAACACATCACCATTTAAGCCTATAGATGCTTCAACCGCAGCTAAGGTCTACACTCCTGACAATAGAAAACCAACTAGAGTATCTGTAAACCTTTGTGAAAAATTTGAAGATATACCAAAGAATAAATTAAATATAGATAATAAAACTTTTATCAAAAATATCAGCCCCAAACAATCTGCATTGCCTACAAAAGGTGAACAATCTTTCGACATATCACAAAATCATGAATGGTCTACTCGAACACCTATGCATCATACAAGTAATTTTACAAAATTACTCAATACCTGTAAGTTAGAATCAATTATATTTATTTATTATTTTTCATGTTTTAGGGATTATTTCAAGCAGTACTAAGCCTAAAAGACCATCCTTTGTTTTAAAAAATTCTCCTTATTACAAATGTAGCCCAAAATCATCAATGATTTCTAAGAATAGATTGAAACAATACAGTGAGTTATTATTTTTATATTAAATGGTTGAAACATTATCATAGAAATTTATCTATTAACAATTATTTTCCAAGGCATTCTTAGCCCACGAACTAAACATTTGAGAACTCCTAAATTGGATAAGTGTGATCAATACCTCAAGTGCTTAGCAAATCCAGAACTTGTATATCATAATAATGCTGAAGATCCGTTTTTAAAAATGTATGGTGAAATTTAATCTAATTTACTATATCTAATATTATTAGTTAAAAAAACATAATTTAATTGTTTGTTTATACTTAAAAGTAAATTGTATTGATTATTGATATAAATATAGTTTTTATTTGTATTTTAGGTCTCAATATTATGAAGCTGAATGGTTAGATCGTCAAGAATCTGATATGATTCGGTGGTTAAATGCACTGCTTATGCCTACTGATAAATTGGCAGATGAAGAACAATTAGATGACTTGAAGCAAGCAACAGTGGCTTGGGAAGAGGCATCCAAAACAAGCCATAAAAATAAGCCTATGCAATTTGCTACACAAAAAGATCTGTTTGTATCACAAATATATAAACAGTGTCCACAACAATGGAGTGCTTTACGGAAAGCAACATCAAATCTTATTACATCCACAAATGTTGCCACTGTTTTATCAAAATTGACTATATCAATAGAAAAAGATTTCATAGCAGTACGAGATGATCGCCAAATACATTTGGATTTAAGTGAGATTTTGTTTAATGTTAAAATTGTTTGTATAGTTAATAGTTAAAATGTATTTTGTTAGATTTAAAGAAAAAAATTACGGATTTGTTAAAATGCTTTAATCCACTGTGGTTACGAATTGGTTTGGAAGCAGTGTATGGTCAAATAATTCATATCAATTCTGGATCTAATGACTTAGATGGACTTGGATGGTTTATACGTAAACATTTGTTTAATAATGATTTCATTAAACAAAAGTTTACTAAAGCTTCTGTTCTTCAAGTGAACCTTCCCACATACAATGTAAAGTAAAATATTAGAAATTAATTAATTTTTGTTGAATTAATATATGTTATATTGCAGATCGCCATGAAAAAATTTATTTTGAAAAAAATATTTATGCTTGTATATTTTTTGGACCGCGCTAAAGAACAGCAACTTATCAGACATAATCCATGTCTTTTCAAAATAGATTCTCCTTATAAAGTGAGTGAATTAATCATGTTTGATATAATTTACTTTATCACGAAGCAAATATTTTTTTTATTTACAGAGTAGCCATGACTTCTTGATGGGATTTTGTGCTGACATGGTAACAGCTAATGGAGATATAAATCGTCGGCTACGTAGTATTGACTATAATTTGACCCATAAACAAACCCATTTGGATGAAGTTGATTATGCTGTTAAATCATTAAATGACCTCAGGGATGGCACCAGAATCACTAGAGTCGTAGAAATCTTGTTCAAAGGAGAACCACTGTCACAGAAACTAAGACTTCCCGCTATATCGAAACTACAGAAAATTCATAATGTAAATTTGGCATTAACAAGAATATCTGAACATATTAGCATCGAAGGAAATATAAGTACTCGTGATATTGTGAATGGTCATAGAGAAAAAATGTTATCACTATTCTGGCAATTAATTTATAAGTATTTAACTCCTAGATACAATAAAGCAGCAAAAACAATTCAGCATTGGTGGCGAAACAATAACCTCAAATTTGTGATCATAAAAAGGATTAGAACTAAGCAAACGTTTAAACGTCACTTAGCTGCTACCAAAATACAAGCTTGTGTCCGTGGTTATTTGACCAGAAAACATTGGCCTCATAAACAAGCTGAATTGATTGTAAACCGTGAAAAGTTGCATCTAGCGTCAACCAAAATCAAACAATACCTACAAAATAAACTTAAACTTTTAACTGAAGACCGAAAACAATTTATAATTTTAAGAAGAACTACAGTGTTTGTTCAAAGAAAATTTAGATCCAAAATTGCAATGGAAAGAGATCGACAACAATATATAAAAGCTAAACAATCAGCTTTACTAATTCAAAAAGCGTATCGTGGTTTTATAATAAGAAAAAACTGGTCACAAATTAAACATTCTTTAATAATAGAAAAAATGAATAGAATTAATGCCATCAATATTATCAAGCGCTCTCTAAGAAAGAACTTACCGCCCACTGAAGACGAATTGTATTATAAAAACTTATTGCATGTAACATTGACTGTTCAAAGAAGATTTAGGGCAAATAATTTGATGAAAGTGCAGATGAAATCATTTATTTTGTTGAAGAAAAGTGCAATAGTCATCCAACAAAGATTTAGAGCAAAACAAGCCATGGTAAAACAAAGAAATCACTATTTAAAACTTAAAATGTGTGCACTCAAATTGCAGGCTGTAACTAGAGGTTACATTGTACGGAAAAAATGGTCTGCATTACACACAGAGTTAAAAGCAAATAGAACACGTTTAACAATCTGTAGCAATATGATTAAGAGAGCGCTCAGAAGTAATCTTCGATTAACCGAAGACCGCATTCAATTTCTTGATTTAAAAAGATCTGTCATTATTATACAAAACCGATTCCGTGCGTTGAAAGAAATGAAGCGACAAAGACAAAAATATCTACAACTTAAAACTGTAACCCTTAAACTGCAGAGTGTGGCTAGAGGATATATAGTAAGAAAGAAATGGCCATCTCTACGAAATGAGTTGATAGTGAAACGTCAACGTTTGAACAACTGTAGTAATATAATAAAAAGAGTTCTGAGGAAAAATCTGCCGTTAACAGAAGACCGTATAAGGTTTCTCGATTTAAAAAAATATGTCATTATTGTACAAACCCAATTCCGTGCGTTAAAAGAAATGAAGCGTCAAAGTCAAAAATATCTACAACTTAAAACTGTAACCCTTAAACTGCAGAGTGTGGCTAGAGGTTATATAGTAAGAAAGCAATGGCCATCTCTACGAAATGAGTTGATAGTAAAACGTCAACGTTTGATCAATTGTAGTAATATAATCAAGAGGGTTCTGAGGAAAAATCTTCCAATTAATAACAACCGTTTAACTTTTCTTAAACTCAGGAGAGCCACAACTCTTATCCAAAGTACATTCAGAGCCAATAGACAAATGAAAGAATATCAGTTATTACGTAACAATGTTATTGTGATTCAAAGAAGGTTCAGGGCTAACGTGGCTATGAAACAACAGAAACTCATTTATGAAAAAACCAGAGCAAAGATTATTCGACTACAAGCTTTCTTTAGAGGACATTTGGTTCTCAAAAAATGGCCAAAGACTAAATATGAATTAGAAGTTAATAAGAAACAATTGATTGCTGCTAGTAATACAATAAAAAAGTTCCTGCGTCTTTGCTTGCCACCCACTCCTGATCGTTTAAGTTATATCAAACTAAGACAGTCTGTGATGAATCTCCAGGCAAGATATCGAGCTATTGTTGCAATGAAAACAGTAGAGCGAGAATATTTATTACTAAAAGATAGTGTGATCATAATACAAAGACATTACAGAGCACACAAAGCCATGTTGATACAAAAACAGCGATATGAACTTTTGAAAAAGTCCGCAATTGTATTGCAGACTCATGTTAGAGGATATTTGGCTCGTAGACGTTGGCCACAGTTAAAAGATAGTATGGAAGCTGAGCGTAGACTTGAGTTAGACACTTTAGAGGTAAGTTTTTAATGTATTATTTGTGTAACAATTTTCCTTTCTGTGTGCAGCTTGATACAAATTAACTTGGCAGCTCGCATAATAACTATTGGTTAGTAGTAAGTGGGTTAGTAATTTAGTATTACATTCTCTTCTGCTTGTCTTACATATCGCATTTTATCTCGAAGAAAAATATTCTGTTCTTTTTAAACTTGTGCGAAAGTTGTATTCTATGAGATTTAAACATACACAGTGCAAAAGGTTGTTAGCTGGCCATGCGTTCTTATTTGAGTTGAAAATGGAAATGCGAGCTGCCATTCAGTTACAAATTTGGACCAGAAATGTAATGTTAAATCGTAAACATTTACAGAAAAAGAATGTAGCAGCATCTAGAATACAAGCTATTGTCAGAGGATTTTTGGTGAGAAAGAAATTACCAAAGATCAAGGAAGAATTACATAATCAAAAACTTGTGCGAGCTGCAACTTTGATACAGGTAAACTGCCAATATTAAATATTCATACAATCGTACAACCAAGAATAGATGAATGTGTAATTATATATGAATTAAATTATTTAACAGGCGTTATGGAGAGGTTATACTGTCAGAAAGAGATATCAGTGTAGACGAGAAACCATAAGAATTCCTCAAAAAGGTGGCCTCACATTAGGCAAACGACACAATGACGTGGTTGATGTATTAAATAAGCAAAGAAGAAATGAATATTCCTATCGGGAACTTGCTACAGTTTTCTGGAACCTAGGTAGTATATCTTAGCTATTATATAGTTATATACTGTAGACGAGCAAAATTATAGATAAAACTGAAATTGTTATTAACTATAATATAAAACTTAAAAAGAAATAAAATATTATATAACTCGAAACCTTTAATTTTTTTCATTTTCTCAGACATCATATATATTCTGCATAAGTAAGTGCATATTAATACGTATTATGAAGATTAAGATGTCATATTTTTTCATTTTTGAAACACTGAAGTTATTGAAATTAAGAGAAAAAATAAGTTTATTTCTTTCTACGTCTTTGATGTTAAAAAATAATTTAATTAAATATTTTAAGTTGTATTGATGTTTATTAAATTACTTATGTGCAAAATCTTCTATATTAAAACTTATATTAAGAGTAATTCAATATTTATTTGCCCTTTTACTATTTATCATATCTATGGTTTTTTAAGTTCAATGTTTTGTTTTTAGATACATGTACAACCTTATCCAAAGAGCTATGTTTGAAGACATCAGAAGGTATGATTGTGGACAGCATGTTTCACTTTTTGCATTATTCCAATCAGTCACAACCAAGTATTGACGCAAGGGAGCCAGCAATCCGCGTACTGACGAATTTACTCAAATATCATGAAACCTCTTGGCATATTTGGGTGGTGAGTACTTAAACAGCTATCCATATTTTTATTATTATAAATCATTTTAAATAAGGTTTTAAGGTTGTTATAATTAGAAGTACTCTCTGATTTTATGTAGTATTTATTTGTATTACAAGACTCAACATCCTCCTAAAATTATATTGTTGTAGAGAACAGTGAATGCTGATATGGTGAAAGACCTAATCAAAATGATGAAGACGTGTTGTGGCAAAATCAGTTCAAAAAAATTGTACTGTTCCATTGCTACTTGGCTTTGGATAGCCCTTCAAGACCCAGAAAAAAAACTTGTTAGTATTTCTAGTTTTATATTATTTAAGAGGACATAACACTTGCATGCCCGATTTTTCGATTTAACTTTGTTTTATTTAATGTTAGAGTAAATTGATGTATTATCAAATTGAAATGCCTAAATCTAGTGAATCTTGTCCTAACAAATTAGCTTATACTTTCAAAAGTATTCCATCCTTTAAATTATATTTAGTTTATATTGAAATGTACAAAAATTTTATCTGCGAAATTATCCAACTAGGAAAATACGTCTTTAATTTTAGTTTAAAATAGTTGGTTATGTGTTGCAGTACATCAAACAAATTCCATCCGCCATGGTAGACTTGAAATTCATGATGGATACTTTGAAAAAGAGGTACATAACATCTAAAGTGGATAAAAAGACAATGGTGTTACCTTCGACGCGGCCTACGTGGAGTATTGGCTCTAAATGTCAAAGATGTTTCGACTCTGACTTCTACGCTACAGCTCAGATTTGCAAACTTTTGGACATTTAAAATAACTATTATACATTTCTTACATTTTTTCTTCTTTTTATCATAAGATTTTATTATTAACTGTTGATTTTTTTCTTTTTCTGTGTACATATAATTATTACCATATTTTAGGAATTAAAATACATTATTTTATACTTTCTTGTTAATTAATTGATTGATTTCTAAGATAATGTATTATACGAGTAAAATAATTATAGTTATTTGAATGTTATAAAAACAATATAATGATTTTTAATAACTATGACACATTTTTGACATTAAAACTGTTAAAGATTATAGATTACAATCTATATGCGATTCAATTTTATGTACAATATTTTTGTGATTTTTTTAAATCCAAAGACATTAGGCTATTTGACTATTTTAATATTAATTTTACTTTTCACATGAATATTATTAAGATTTATTGATAATTGAGAAAATCAATACTTATTTGATTTAATCAAAATTCATAGTTATATTTAATCATTCATTGGTTTAATGCTTGTTAAAATGTTTTTCCCTGTTTAAAATTCATACAATGTAATTCCGTAGTATAATATTCGGTACTTTTATTACAACTTTAAGTGCATGTACATTAAAAATAAATTAAATGTATTCATGTATGTAGCTGGAGATGTGAAAAAGTATATTAAAAATTTTTGATCTTAAAAAATACGTTATTTATTTTTATATGAAGTACTGCTACAAATCAATTTGATAGTATTTGAATTATTAACTTTATTTTCAAATTGTAACTATAATTAATATTAAACCATTTAAATTAAAGATTCCAAGGTGGTTTGAACTGTTATCAAGAGAAAAGAAACTATATTACATGATATTGTATACATGTATAAGTTTTTAATTATTTCTCAGACATCTTAAATTAAATGTTTAAGAAATGTTGTTAATATATAATTATTAACTATAATTAGTCCTTTTTGTATACATAGAACCATCCCACTTTGTTTATGTTAAATAATGCATTATAATTAGTTATTTTTTAGAAATTTGATTAACTATATAATATTTTACAACAAATAAACTTAAAATTAAAGGAAATTAGAACCATAACATATTGTTTATGAAAACATTAAAGGAGGTCGGTAATGTATATAGTAAAATTCATTTGAAAAATCAAATAAAAAAAAAATCCCAAATAAATAATTAATTACAAATTAATTTACTATTCAGTTTTAAACCAAGAGTATCATTCCAGTTCCAAAAAACTAAATTATAAGTAATTAATTTGTCTACAAAAATAATATAGTACAATCAATACACCAATTGAATCAAAAATTAAATGTTATTTGTTGTAAAAAATATTTTGGGTAGAAAAATAATTTACTTATTTTATACTGTGATGTTACAAAATAAAATTATTTAAGATAAATGTCAATATCATTATTAGATAGTTGTCTAACTTGAGTTATTTGACTATCACTAGATTATTACATTAATTAATAAACTACACTTATCATTTGTATTGCTTAAATGGTTGGTTTATAGATTATTGAGTAGATTATGATAGTACTTTTTTTTTTTTAAATGTATTGAAGGCTTGTTTATGATTCACCTGTCGGTAAGAATTACAGGGTCACTGAGAGCCTTTCGTTCTCTGGAATTGGCTCCCTTAGATAAGTTGACTATTTGGCTAGTAGTAGCAAATGCTCCTGCGAAGTCTATATTGAGCACACACAAAACACTTCAAGAGATCGCATTGTTTTGCTCACTGTGCTCGAATCGAGGGTGTTGACAATTTATTGACTTTTGTAAAGTTGACATTCTATTTTGAAAAAACCTAATTCTATATTTTCTAAGCTACTGGTCCTTATATGCTTTATCGTAATTAAAAGTTTTATTGATTTTAGTATAAATTACACTGGATTAATTTAATAGGTGAAGGTAGTTGGGAAGTAATTCAATATAAAGAATTTATTAACCTAGCTCACTAGTGTTAATAAAAATGATAATAAAATATTTAATCATCAGTTTATAGTTTATACCCTGTTTAATTTAATAGAAAATTTCAAATTTCATCTTGATTTAAAGTTAATTTTAAAGGCACTGAACTAAGTAGGTATTATGAGTAGGGCTCGAATTTAAATGTTCTAAAATATCAAAAAAATTCATTTATGACCTAAAAACTCTAAAAAAAAATGCCCTTATAATATCCAAAAATGCATTTTTATTTAATAAATTCAAATTATTATTAAAAAATGAAAATATTATATTTGCATTACACTCGGCAAAAAAAATCTCGGACAACCGATATAATATTATCGCTCGATAAGAAAATACTCCAATACAAGTTTAGTTGTATGCAATAAAATAGGCTAATTTTATGGTGTAACATAAAGATGAATTTCAGCCTTTTCTAATTTAAAATCGGATTACCTGATGTTAAATAAGTTCAAATTGTTAAAAATGAAAATAATTTATATTACGTAGTACTACACTACTATGTAGTATTTATATTTCAATGAGGTCAATTTTTTTAGTCATAATACGAGAAATAGGTCAAAAATTTCCAAAAAATGTTTATGTTTATTGCATAAGATATCCTAAAAAAAAGATACAAATGCTTCGAAATCCGCGAGCCCTAATTATAAGCTTTTAGTTAAGGTATACGTTTAATTTAACAATGCCCATCTTCATTATTCGTGATATAATGAATATCTTTTAATTAGTATCTGAATAGCATCATTATTTTAAAATCAATTGAATACTAATACAAATTACGTGCAGACATGCAGTTATTATTAATAATAAGCCATAATTACCTGAGTAATTTTAAAAAAATATGGTAATGTATAGATATAAAAAAACTCCTAGATAGTTACTAGTTTCTAAGTAAAATTAAAAACAATTAAATATTGGTATACCTACATTGTATTACTGTAATTGTAACAAGCTCTATATAAAATATTTAGATTCTTTGGACGTGTTTGTAGGTACAACTCGTACAAGATACTAAATACTTTGTCTACCAGTTAGTGGGAATTTAAGAACTATAAGGATAAGTAAGAAATACGAGCTCTAATGGTGATTTAAAAATTGAAAATCTACAATACCTACATACCTATTTTGTATATTTTATGGGAAGTTCTTGATTTTCATACTTATAGGTGCCATGCATTTCTTAACCTGTACCTATATATTATATTTTAAATACTAATTAATATATCATCACTCAATTTTATTTGAACCAGGTTTTTATGGGCATCCGCCGATAAGCGCCAAAAAAAAAAATGAATTCGTTATGGGTATATTATATTTGCGCCAAAATAAAAAAGGTACCTATGTTTTTTTGGACAGTCCATTTACACCAAATTCACCTGTCTATACATTTTACATTAACCACTTGGTTCAATTCAAATATTTTAAAGGCACTACAAAAATTTTAAATAAGCAAGGATAATAAATTTTTTTAATTATAACCAAAAATACGAGTTTTTTAAAAATAATATCAGTAGGTAATACTTATTTTTATGAACAGCAATTAATAACAGATACCTATACATTTTTTTTAATCATAGCCAATAATAACATAGTTAATAGTGCACATTTTTTATGAACTGTAATGAACTAATGTATTTATATATTATGTCTTGGACAGTCACACGCTTACATAATATGCTGCAGTTATATTTTGTCTTACAACCGTTTGGCTGGGCATATTTTATTTGACTTTTATTCGTTGATTTGACTTATAACGCGATATCCGATAACAAAAGTACCTACATCGTACCATATAATAAAACTAATATAAACTTGATTTCAATCTGTCTAAGCAATAGTCTATTAAAATCTATAGATTTATGAAAATAACTAATAAATATGAGTTACAACTTACAAGTGTTACTAGTTACTACATAGCACGTAGGGATGACGTGTCTTTAAAATCTATGAATTAAACCAAGTCATGTGAAAATGTTTACACAGGTAAATTTGGCTCAAATTTACTGTCGGAAAAGATACCTTTCCTATTTTGGCACAAATAATCTGTACCCTGAACGAATTCATTTTTTTTTTTGGTGCAAATGGGTCATTCCAGTACTTAGGTATAGGCGTATAGCGTTATTGTTGCAGTCGACTGTCGACTATTAATTTAACGACAACGATTCGATACGCATAAAATCTCTACAGCAGCATAGCACTAATATTCCGAAGTAGTATCGTAATATATTTTTTTTAACTACCTATTTATAAAGTTCAGTAAAATGACAAAATACTAAACAGTTTTTGCAATATTTTAAATAATAAAAATGTATTTTTGAATATTTTACATTTGTTTTAGTGCAAATACAATATGCGTGCATCTACCTACTCTGTCTTTTTTAGCTCTTTTAACTTCCTAGCCCTCCCGATAAGTATTACGGAAAGTTTTGAGGTAAGAGCCTTTTGGGCAAAACGACATTTGGTAAGTAATAAAAATAAATATTAAATCGGTAATAAATAACATTATGCTCCAAAATAAATAAATAAAAAAAGTCAAAACAACCATCAGAGTATATGCATTCAGCAGAGCTAGACTACAAACATAGGTATGATGTTTATGTAAACGAATTAATAACTCAGAATTCAGTACTGAATAGATTTTAATTCAAGTAGGTGTAGGGAATAGTATTTGGAAACGGCCAAGACTATAGTCTATACTCTATAGGCTGAGTTTGGATAAATTAAATATTTTAACTATCTTAAGTTAAAAAACCTCGTATCAATTGAATGGTATTTTGACACCTTCTTCCCTGGAACAAATTTATTACATTTATTTTTCATTATAAATATATGACTATATAATATGCTTTGTATTGTGTACAGGTACATCATAAATTGTTTTTATAGTTGATAAAAAATATTCATATAAATTTCACGGTATAAAGAACTTTTTAATAGTGATAAATTTGTATTATTTTTTAAAGATTTTTATATAATTATATTTATTTATTTATGTATAGGTACCTCCTATACCTACTTACTGGTATTTAAACAAAGTAAAATACAAGTAAGTTAAATGTGCAAGTGATTTGCGCATGTGTTCATTTAAAAAAAAAATGATAACACCCGCGTATCTATTACATACCTAACTATAAATTATAAAAATAAACATTGGATTTTTACAGGATTTTTATTGTTGGACTCATAGGCGGAGATCTTGTGAAATATTAAGGGGGCTCAAATATTTGATGACAAACAGACCCGTGGGGGCATTGCCCCCACACCCCCAACAAACTAATTTTTACATTAGATCACTCATAAAAAATTGTTCTCGTTAACTCGTTATCATAACAACTTAAATAGTAACAAACAAAAAAAAGAATAATTAATAAACGATTTAAATTTAAATATTTCAAACATATTTGAACTAAATTATTTATTAAAAATCTAAATCACTATCTCAAAAGAAATGTATTCCCAAGAACATCAAACAATAAGTAAAATATAATTTAAAAAGTATAAAATGGTCAATACGGTTAACGATTCATTCAATCGCGATAAACTTAACGATAGGTTTAATATAGCTATAGCGATAGTCCCATAATAGCTATCGCTTCTCGAGAATTAACAAAAATCAGGAAAAGAAATAACATTTTTCCCATCTAAAATAGAATGGTATAATATGTTATTCAATATAGATGGCCAATTGGTACAAAAA